AACTAATATCTGCACTGAAACACCATCTAATTTGAACTAATATCTGCACTGAAACACCATCTAATTTGAACTAATATCTGCACTGAAACACCATCTAATTTGAACTAATATCTGCACTGAAACACCATCTAATTTGAACTAATATCTGCACTGAAACACCATCTAATTTGAACTAATACCTGTAATGAAACACCATCTAATTTGAACTAATACCTGCACTGAAACACCATCTAATTTGTACTAATACCTGCACTGAAACACCATCTAATTTGAACTAATACCTGCACTGAAACACCATCTAATTTGAACTAATACCTGCACTGAAACACCATCTAATTTGAACTAATAACTGCACTGAAATACCATCTAATTTGAACTAATAGCTGCACTGAAACACCATCTAATTTGCCTCAAAAACTTAACCTTCAGATAAATAAGTCTAATAAAAGAAAACAATTTCACTTTTATCTGGGTGTGTAAGGTCAAGCAAATTTGTAAAGTAAGATATAAGGAGAGGAAATACATACTTGCAAGCCGGGGTCGAAACTGTATCGCAACTTTATAACTCTGCAGCGCTTCTTCGAATCTTCCTTGTTCTTGTAGCAATATACCCCTGGTGTAGAATCGTAGAATCACATATTTTTATCGAAACTGATTAACAAAATAAAGCTAGACACTTTGACTGAATAAACTTTCAACACAGTATAACGATTTCTTTAAACAATGATGTCAAAATTAAACGCAGGTTTGTTGTTGTTGTTTTTTTATATCAAATCCTAATTTCAGTAAAAACTTCGACCGTATTGATATATTTAATTTTTTATAGAAGAAGATACATAGACCTTTGTACGCGAAGGATCCACGTGATTTTAGAGTTTTATAATATGCGTGTAATGCAAAAGTTAGAAGGCATTTAAACCGAAAAAGATACAGAATACATATTTAACCTTCTATTGCACATTATAACGTACAGGTAAGAGATCTATCTTTGTTGTTTAATACACATACAAATGGTTCAGTTCTGTAGTTGAATGCTCTTACTTCCAGGTAACAGTCTAAATAAACCATGTAATTATTTTTATTGGTTTCTCAATTGAACATTGTTACTTCTAGGTAATGTACCCATTTATAAGCTACTCAAATATATTCCACAAAAACATATTTTCGTGCAATACAGACCTATTTAAGTAAGAAATTCAAAGACAACATCCCCCCCCCCCCCCACTGTATTTTCATAATGCGTGCAGTTGAGGATTATAAGTTAACTACATTGCGTGTAATTAACAAACAGTATATTGGTGTGGATTGAAAAACTTACAAATTGTAATGGACATCCGCCATATTGGACCGGTAAGTAAGTGCTTTTCTGTACGCCCATTCGGCCTTCGTCTTCTTGCCTTGAGCACTCAAGATGTTAGCCAGATTTCCGTATGCTGTCGAGAAAGATGAATACATACACACATAACCGATGATAGGTGAATAATATATTCTTATTGACTAACAGTTTTATTTCACAACACTGGTCTTTAATGAGGTAATACAATGTGTTTTCCGTTTAATTGAACGGTCTCGAATGGCCTCAGTGGTGATTAGGGCACTCACTCGCAATATGTGGGGGTTCGAATCCCATCATCGAAAATGCTCGCTCTTTCAACCGTGGAGGCGTTATAATGTGACGAACAATTCTACCACTATTCTTTGGTAAAGAGTAGCCAAAGAGTTGGTGGTAGGCGGTGTTGACTAGCTGTCTTCCCTCCGCTCTATCACTTCAAAATTAGGGAGGGCTAACGCATATAGTACGACAAACTAAAGCAGACTCACCGCACATTGACAGAGATATAAGTCGGAAAATTACAAAGACAAATGCCTGAGGTTTTTATTGCTTAAATGTAAATTTATTCGCTAAGCCTACATCATTTTAGCCATATATAAAACTCAATATTCCTATTAGTGCCAGGACATTAGAATATGTTTTAGTCTCAACCTGGGTAATTATACTTATAGGAAAAGACAGTGTTAGTCCATATACGTATGTGACTATTAACTAATCAGGTTCCACATAAATATACATCAGCGAATATGGTTTGTTTGTTCATTTAAAGTTAAGCATAATGTTATACAATGGGCTATCTGTGCTTTGCCCACTATGGGTATCGAAACCCGGTTTCTAGAGTTGTAAGTCCGCAAACATACCGTTGTGCCACTGGGTGACGAGTATGGTTTGTGGGTAGTCTAAATATGGTACACTATTTGGTACAATATAGTACACTATATTGTCTATTTATGGCTTTCATATCGAACGTCAGGGGCGGCGCAACCAAGGGTGCAGCACGCGTCAGGGGCGGCAGGTTCTTGGAGGCGTAATTGTGTAGAATTTCTATAATGACGGAAGAGCAGGGTTGAGCGGCACAGTCACAGTTTGCACAGGGTGGCACAAATAAATACATTGTGCCGGCCCTGTCGAAAGTATTTACTTGTATTTTATTTTAAATAGTCGTTCATTATTATATTTTTATTATGAAGATTGATTTGCATTGTTAGCTTAGATTTAGTATTTAGCACTAACCTAAATCACCTAAGCCTAAGCTCGAGATATTATTGGATTTACGGTCGGAAATGTCGTTAGCAGCGATGGTATCCAACTGATAAAACAATGCATTCTAATCTATAGCAGTAGATTCGTAACAGAAGTATAGTTGATTCTTAGTTTCGCTTTGGGTACATAGATTACTCTGATTGGAAGTTTTATTTTATTATTATTATTTTTTTTAATTTCGCGCAAAGCTACACGAGTGCTATCTCCGCTAGCCGTCCCTAATTTAGTAGTGTAAGACTAGAGGGAAGGCAGCTAGTCATCACCACCCACCGCCAACTCTTGGGCTACTCTTTTACCAACGAATAGTGGGATTGACCGTCACATTATAACGCCCCCACGGCTGAAAGGGCGAGCATGTTTGGTGGGACGGGGATTCGAACCCGCGACCCTCAGATTGCGAGTGGAGCGCTCTAACCACCTGGCCATGCCGGGTCAAATTGGAAGTTAATATTAATTATTTAAAAAAAACTAATAAATATTATTCTGTGAGTGTGTGTTTTTTATGGCAAAGTCACATCGGGTTATCTGCTGTGTCCAACAAGGGGAATCGAACCCCTGATTTTAACGTTATAAATCCGAAGACTAACCGCGTCCTACCGGGGGGGGGGCATTATTCTGTGAAACAAATCAACAATGAGCTCATAACTATAGGGATGTTATATACAAAATGTATCAGAAATATAACTAAAAATACAAAATAAAATCATTTAATATTAATAAAAATACATTAAAAACGGATAATTTTTATACAGCAATTCTTTCATTAAAAAAAAAAAAAAAGACTTGGTTTTTAATTGTAATGACAGCAGATTTTCCACTAATATTTAGCGTGTGGTAAACAAATGACCACTTAGTTACCAGAACTAAATCACAACAGAGTTTGTAAACGGCAACGATTCTGGTAGGATGCAGACGAAAAGATATAATGGTGGAGACCAGCCACTTATCGAACAGTTGTCTTCCTACTCAAATCGACGGGGAATCAACTTTCATACGTGAGGGAATCTCTTGACAACATTTCCAAGAACTTATCACCAAAAATCTGTCTCATCAACGTTGTTCTCGGGCCAGAAAGTGACACTTTGTTATCAGGGCTAGCCATGACGTTTCTTACTCTAACACAATTTCCATCACTGAACTTGGTTTTGTAGATACACATGGGACACTAACAGCATTCTTATCATACACCTGGGGGTGACTGGGGTTGGGAATGAGGAATCCTTTTATCCATCATAGACGTGCTTCACATCAGGAAATTGCCAAGTGTAATTTATTTGCTTCGCAGCAAAAAGTGTTTGTTAAATGATGGGTCTTCGAAATACAAAGGTTAGTTAAACCGAACTTTTTTTTCTTAACGTAAATGGCATATATTAATTTTTAAGCACTTCACACTTCGCTATGTTTGAGATAAGTAATGACACTTGAACTATTCTTGATACGTCTTCCGTGAAATGTAGAATGACTTTATATATATATATTTTTTTTTGTGGGGGGG